TTTAATCTGTGTAATCTTAGATGCAGATGGTTCTGCAATCTCTGCAAGGCCTCTGGCATGCAACCAGAGGGATGCAAAAACAAAAGCAAAAAAGCGTGCTAAGGAAGAGAATAAAAGATGGGAAATTTCAGTGAGCCAGTTTTAATTTCTGCTTGCACAGCCCTGTACCTGGAGACAGCTCAGCACAGGGCCCAGGAATGAAACAATGAGGAATTTCTCCTCCTGAGCTGCACAGGGAAGTTTCCATACAATAACTCAGGGGTTAAATTGAGATATGCCACTGTGTTTCTTCGTTAATCCTCAAGAAGACAGTAAATGCCATTGTGCCACCATTGCTTCTGAGGAGAAACTCCTGGAACAAAAGGTAGACAGAGGAGTGTTTGCTTGGCTTTATTTTATTTAACTTTACTTTTGAGCCTTTTTAACTCCGTAATTATTAGGAGGATGAGTAATTCCCACATACAGCTGTGAGCTGTTACCATTGAGCAGTTCAAATCCTGGCAGAAGTGTTTCCTTCAGAAATAAAGGCATCTTATCCAAATAGGAAGATTTCCAGACTGCCTTGTATTGTTCTCTAATGTAAGTGTGGAGCTTTTGTAGTCCGTTTCCAGGACTCAATGAATCTGGTGTGTATTATTGTTTGGCTGGTAATGCCCACTTGCAAAGCCCATTTAGTCACCGAAGTGTTTCCCAGAAATTTTTTGTGAGTGAAGGTGCAAGTGAAGGCTCTATCCATCCCTCAAATTCCATTTAATGCTACTGGTTCTGTTGGTTTTTTGGGAGTTTTTTTATAAAAATGCAATTTGAACAGCAATTCAAATTAGGGACACTTTGMAAAGTATTGGGCATTTTCCCGCTTGTTGGTTTTGCCTTTATCTTGGGCTGAAGCAACCACACATTGCCAGGGGTTTTCAATACTTCAAGTTGTATGCCTCCTGCTAAAAAGAACCAGAAATAGCACAGTAGCAAGAAAATACCCATTCTGGCCCCATTTTCAGTCAGATATGAAGGTTCTACCTCTGTACGCAAACATGTTTAACTGCAGTTAAAWGGTTACAGCACTGGAGGTGTGTCATTTACTCTGCACAAGTTTTGTGGTTTGCCTTTGTTCTCATTCAGAATGGCTGTTTTGTTGGGCTTCTGATCAAATCAAAGATTACTAATTAGTGAAAAACAGGCATTTATGGATGGACCTGCAGTGAMATAAGTAGGCTCCCCCTCTCATGCTCCCAGAGTTGCATTCTCACTTGAAGTCAGACTTGAGAACTGCTTCAGGTGAAAGCTGCTTTTGTTTTTTGTTTCGTACTAAATGTGGTTTTCAGGTTAAAAAAAAKGATTGTTTTTTCTAATGGCTGCTTTTTTTGACCTTTTTACCGTATGGTTGAAATGGGAAGAGTCTGGAACTCACCAAGGGTGCCACTTATTCTTGGGAGGATGGGGCAAAGTTAAAAGTAGAAACAGCTGATGAGGCAGGAGAAAGCAGGAGGAAGAGAAATGTGAACATCTGTTAAAGCTATACCAGTGACTATTTTAGCTGRGTCCAGCTTGCAGTTCCGTTCTAATTCCTGCTCCTTCAAGAGGTGTCACCGCTATCAGTGACAAACACAACGCAGGCCTAGGGAATATCGTCAGGGCAGCTCCTTTGTTGTTGTTATGGTTTTGTTTAGGTTATCCCAGTCTTCACTAAATGCACTTACATGCACTAGAAATAAAAATAGTGTTTCAAAGATCTGGAAGATCTGATTTACTATTACAATTCCCTATTTTGTTCCCACTGATGTTCCCTTTTAGTGAGAAAATACTTCAGCCAGAGGGCTGCCAGTAGCTGGAGTGTTGTGTCTACAGCACCTCAGTTTCAGTCAATACCTGTCCTGTAAATCCCAKTCCTGCTGGCTTTTGTGCAGATCCCCATTGTCGTGGGGATCCATTCCAGGCTCTCAGATTCATCTCAAGCCAGTTCTCTGCCCCACAATGAACTTGTCTAGCAGAACAGTTTACATTATTATGTAAGGAAACCTAAGAATGGGTCTCTTTTTGCTGTTTATTTCTTGTGTGCCTTATTCCTCCCAGCTCTGAGACAGAAAGCTTCTTGAGAATTAGGTTTGATTTCAATCTCATCAGAGGAGATGATTAATAAAAGTAACCTGACTTTCTCATSGGTACTGGCTTGCTGCCTCAGCCAATGGAATATATTGCTGTCCATTCCTAAGAAAGTTCTTAATTTTCCTTGGAAAGTTCTTGTCAAGGCTAACTGGAATAAAAGTTGAATGAATTCATGCAGTGATGCAAGAAATGCTTTCYTGCTGTCCAAATAGGCATCTGAATGACCTTCATCCTGCCTTGTCTAATTAASTCCATAAGTAGTGGTGTTTAGAAAAAGGTGATGGTTTTGGGATTTCTTTTTTTCTCCATATATATGAGCAACCGAGAGAAATGAGTGGAAAGCATAGAGTGCTTTATAGGCTTGACTTAACATTTTCTCCTGGGAAGACTTAATAATTTAAGTGGATACCAGAGCATTTGGTCGGAAATATCTACAAAACTGCTGCATGTGAAAAGACTTGGACCCTTAAAGGAACTGAGCTAAGGGATGACTTTTGATATTGTGAAACAGAAATAAACTTGGACTCTGTTTCAAAGCAGATAATTTCTGCCTTTGTTTATATGTTATATCTTTAGATAAATTAAAATAAACAAGACTTAGTGAGAGCAGTATAAAACATGAATTTTAAATTTTCCATCCAACTTTTTTTTAGTATAAGGATTTTTAGAATTATTGTAGAGAAAATTATTTTGAACTTTTGTATTAATGTATAGAAAAACAATCACTAAATTATGGTTGCTATTTTCTGCTAGGTTCATCTCTTGGCTTGTCCTGTGCACATCATTTGTGGATTTTAACCCTGCACAGATGTGCTTTGTCATACTTGGGAGAGAAAAGGTTATTGACTTTACAGTAAGTTATTAATTCCAATTTCCTTAGAAGGCCAGGGKTTTTTTTCCCCTAGGAAAACAGACACAGCTGTAAATGAATGAAGCTTGTGATGGGTTTGAATTAATCACCCTTGTCCCCAGTTGCCATGCAGAGTTGAAGTCATATTGCTCTTCTGCTCATTTAGATMTATTGAGGAAATCTGGTTTTAGTCAAGCTTCAGTCATTACACAAATATATTTAGATTTTTCTTCAGTTAACAGATCAAGGTCTTTACAATTATCTGTTCACTTTAGTTCYCATCATGTGGATTTTCCAGGGAAGAAGTAGCTCTAACTGAGGATATATTTCATGCATCTTAATTGGTTTCCCTGTAAGTGTTTTAAGATTTTTCAGATTAGAATTTCAGAGCCTCACCTGTGCAATTTGCAGCAATCAGTGCTCCAGGATTGCACGCCACTGGTAAAAATAGAGGGAAGATTATGGATACAATTTTAGTCTGGGTTAAACAGGCACGGCAGTAGCTGATTTTACAACACATTTCTTGTATTTGCATCAGGCTGTACAATACACAGCAGTGCTGTGTGTTTAGTAGTTAATGTGTCCTACAAGATGTGTTTATTGTGTCGTAGCTGTATCAGGAGGACCCAGTCCCGGTGTGAAAGCAGAAAACTAGCAATATTGCATGCTTTCTTTTGGTGACTAAAATGGGTTTTATTTGTTTTTGATTTGTTTGGTTTTTGTTTTTGTTTTTTTTTTTTGTTTTGTTTTGTTTTTTTAATGAGCTTTTTATACAATTCCCTCTGCTGGCCACTGTGCTGCCAGTTGTTTGTCATCCCCCAGTCTCTCACAGCACATCACTGCTGGAGAAGAAACTTCCAAAGTCGAAAGCAAGTGTGATCCAAGGGGGAATGTGGGCCAGGACTCAGCTTTGTGTGTAGGTACAGAGCACCCACAGCCCTCTGGATTTGCTGGCAGGGGGTCTCTGAGCTCTGTGAGCTGTGTGAGGGACCTTTGGGTATGCAAGGTTTGTGKCTTAAATCACACTGTGGAGCTGCAGGGAATTAATCTGTACCAGGGAGCTGAACTCACACTCAGCTTATTGCCTTTATTGTAGCTGAGAATAGCTTTGTCAGTGCCACTGCAGTGAGGGACTGGGGGTTTGAAATGTGGTTTAGTTGTAATAACTTAAACTGAGTGTGGACAGGTCTTTTTCCAGGAGAAGAAAAGCTCTTATCTCAGTTGCAGGCTGAGCTGTGTGATCTTCTCAGGATACTTCAGGGCACAGGGAAATATTAAAAGACAAATTTCTTTGTCATTTCGTTTCCTTTTGAGGCAGTTGTCACAGTAGGGTTACGCCAGATAGATGGTCCACGTGCTTCATAGGTATTTGTGTATATTTTATGCTTTGGGTGCATTTTTCACTTCAAGAATCAATTCCAAGAAGAGTGTGCACTGTAAGGTGTTCCCAGCTGGCTTGGGTAGTTGTGTTTTCTTCAAATGAGAGACAGGGAAATAAAAGCTACTGCAGAAACTATTTTGCAGCTCACAATTAATTCTTTCATTGCCACTGTCATCCTTGCGAAGCTGTAAGTTCAGGATGAAGTGGCTGCTTAGCAGATAAGTTATTCCAGAAATGGCAAAATGAAATATCAGGTGGCATGAAGAAAATGGGAAATAATTTTGTRTTTKTGAAAKTCTGAGTCTACTTTAAGGAAACCARCCTGCAGTTTGSTGTGGTTGCCCAAAGGCAGAGATGTCTTGGGGTGCAGTTTGTCTGTTTGCTGTGGGGTGTGTACCAGCACCTGACTGAGACAAACCCTCTCAAGAGTTGGTTGAGGCAGTGGAGGTGGCAGTGCAGGAAAAAAACCACTGCTGGAGTTCACTGCTGAGGAACTGAGTGCCTTGTTCTGACACCATATAGTGCATCTCTGTGTATTTCACATGGCATCAATAAAAACTGAGAGGACCTCCATCAATTTGTTTTAATTCAGAAACAAAATATGAAGTTTTCTATCAATTTCAGCTTTCATTAATGGCTACATTTCTATTTTTTTTTCTATTTCAGTTTGGGTTCATTCAGYCACAAGATAAAATTCACTTCCTCACATATAAAAATGATAAAAATCTGGATTCCATTTTTGCTGCTCTTCTTACCGGCTACTATGGTAAGTCTTACAAATTTTTAAAATCACTTCCAGTTTTAACAACCCTGTACTGAGTACCATAGAAATTATTAATATGGAAGTGCAGAAAGCACTAATCTTGTGTCCAAATATAGCTTCTGCACAACAGGATCTTTATCTACCTTCTGTKGTCCTCTGAATTCCTCTGGCAAAGGAACAGAAATTGGATTTACCTCTGCTGAATCCAGCATATTCTCTGCTGGCTCAGAACCGTAGCAGTTGACAGCTAACTAAAGCAATACCCTGTAGACCTCAGGAAGAGGAGGAGACATGTAACTGAAATTCAGGGAACATCCTCAGAAATTTTAATTTCATCCCTTGTACCACAGTGGTACAGTATTTCAATCTGCTGCTTTGTTATTCTGTGAAACTTGGTAGCTTCCTATAAAATATTTAATTACTATTAAATATGCACTTGAAAGGTTCAGGCTTTGGTCAAAATTGACTTTCTTAAGTTTTTTTAATTTTAATATCTATCATGGTCGAGTCTTCTGAATACCATGTTCTATTCTGAGGGTTGACTTTATGGTTCACCAGACTGTAGAGAAACCAAATCGCTCTGGACAAGCCAAGTGCTTCAGTGCATAAAATATGTGGAAGGTCTTTTGCATCAAGGATCATTTTGGATCTGACTGAAATGCCTTTTACATAAAACTTTGATGAATTTCACTGGGTTTTTCAAAAACTGTTCATATGCTTCTGAGTAGTTCAGTGCTTTCTATGCATGTTGCATTATTATTTACAAATCTTGCCAATTGTTACTACCCCATCCTCATTCAGGAGACAGTTGTCAAAAATAAGTACTAAGAATTGCTAAATTAACCAGAAAAATACAAAATCATATTGTCAGTAATAAGATTTGAAGAGCACTCCTTTTCAGTAAAATAATACTTAAAGAAAGATTGATGCTGAAAAAAAAAATTATATTGTAGCTTGTATGTGGTTTGCTAAAASAGGTCTTTTTCCTTTCAGTTTTTTGCCACTGCTACGCCATCTGAGGGGCATCAAAATGCAACACTGGACTTTGCCCAGCTGAGTGTTACACGGAATAAAATCATGACAGCACAGTATGAATGCTACCAGAAGATTATGCAAGACCCCATTCGCCAGCATAACGGTAGAGATTGTTTTCTCCTGAGGTTTTACTAAAGCAAGTGGTCAACAGATATAATTACAGTAATTCCTTTAGTTCTRTTAATTCCTTGTCTTGCTAGCAATCTTTTTTCAGGTTGTCACAATATTTGCCCAATTTTTTATAAACATCATTTTGGCATGCATGAAATAATACGTTGTAATATCTGCCCATAGCACCATTTCTTACATAACACAAAGCTTTTCTTTCTGATGAAATAAGAAAGTGTTAACTTCAATAGTTATCTATATTAAAAAATCGGGCTTTATTACTCTTACCACCTTATTTCATTTCATGCTCTTATAATACCTCWGTCTRCCTGTCACATCTACCTTTAAAAATKGTAAATATTTTAATCCACACAGTTTCCCTGCTCTGAGGGTTGTGATAGTGTCATTATTGCTTTTCCTGATAAGTCACTCAGAGCTGACCTCAGGGACTCCACCTATTGCTGTACTGACTTGGTAGCTTCTGGAAATGCTGAATGSCTTTTGAGGCAAGGAAACAAAAAGMTCTTTAACAAAGAGCTTTTSCTCTTCTGAAATGATTCTKTGGAGGAACTGAATGCCTGGAGGTCAGAAATGGATWCAAGTGTGGGCAGAATAAGTTTATGCCCAGCTTGGGACTTCACAGCATCAGAAAGATCTGGATAAATTGGAAAATCTTCAGATGAGGCAGAATTACATGGCATCTGAAAACTGCAGCCTTTGAGATGGGGACATTATTAAGTCTTTAAAAGAAAACTGAAGCGAGATAATAAAAACATCTTCAGATTTGTGGAGATGGTCAGTCATTCTGTGTGCCTTGGGGAAAGGAGTTGTTTATGMAAGGCCAGCTCATTCTCCAGGGAGGTTTATTTTAGATGTTGAAATGTGTGTGAGCAATGAGGCATTGGAACAGGCTCTTGAGGGACATTGGATTCCCTGYTCCTGGGGCACTTTGGGAAGTGTTTGGCCACAGTGAGTGCTSCAGGCTCAGCTCAGCCTGAGGCACAGCAGCAGGGATGCCTCCCAGCCWGGCTTTCTCATGGCTTCTGGGATGCCCTGTGTTATCAGTGAACGAGCAAACATATGTACAGGCTTGGTATATAAAACCATCYTTGGAAGCCTGAGGTTCTTTGCTAAGGTACATTATTGAGTACAAATCAGGGGGGTTTTGTCCACTGTGTTCTGGATCTGAGGTTTGTAAATTGTAGATGTGAGCTGTTTCAAGGTGAATGAGAAAAGATTTTTAAATGTGTTTAAAAAAAATTTATGTGTAAGGAATGGTCTCTGTTAAGGGAAATTTTAATCAAGGACTGCTAAATCATATTTTTCTGGGTTTTTTCCCCTCATTATGGCAAACTTTACCTAGTCCTCCATCTTACCTTTGAAAGACTACTATGAAATAAGAGTTATTTTATTCCCAGGCCTCTGTTTGCTTGTAGGTTCTTTCTGTAACAGGACCTGGGATGGCTGGTTGTGCTGGAGTGATGTTCGTGCTGGCAGTGTGTCSGTGCAGCGCTGTCCTGACTACTTTCAGGATTTCAACCCATCAGGTGCGTGTGCATTCACTTCTACATCACTGTATTTCTCACTGAAATAAYGGTCTKGGGGCTTGATGTCTCATTTGCCTCRCTCAAGTCATTATTGCTYCAGGATTTCARAAACTCARGACCCATTATTTGTATTTTCCTTTTATCATATGGAAAACTGACAAGTTACTACTTATTTTCTTTTCAGTATCATTGAGGGATTCTGTAGATTAAGGAGTGGGAATTGAAGTTAGAGGACACTTTTTTGTCTTAGAAATGAGCTTTTCTGACAGAAAAGCAGAAATATGACTTATTATTTTACCTCAGTTTAACAGTTGCAGTTGACAGTTTCTCCCACTTTGAGTCATTTCCTGTTTCTGTGGGCTAATCTTTGTGAGCATGTGAAAAATGTCATGGATTTCTGTCTTGTCTCTTTCTATGCATTTTATATTTCCCAGGGTCTTTCATGCCTCTTTATATTTGATGATTTTCCAGTTTGGTTCTTGAGTAGTTTTTCTATAGACATTTTCCCATTTGTCCAAAACTAATTTATAGAGGTAGGGTGTCAGGCTTCAGTTTCCATCTTGGATGTTAAACAAGCCATTTAAATATTCTTGTCACTTCATCTGGTAGTTCTCTAGCAGTTAGTTCAGTGTGTTTTGATACTTAATGGATTGGAGAAGGCAAATCTATTTGTTTTCTTAAGGAAAATCACATCATCGMTTGCCCTTGCCAAGCAAAAGCAACGGCCCCAAGTTTCTCAGAATTCATAGTAACAAGCAAAGTCTCTCTAGTCATATTAATAAAGCTGTCATTTGTTTGCCAATCTTTATTAARTACTTGGCATCAGGAAATAGAACTTGAGTGCTGACTGTTGTGTTTTCCTTTCACTTTTCTTCTTTTGTTTTTCATTCCGTCAACTTTGATTGCAGAAAAAGTTACGAAGATCTGTGATTCGAAGGGGAATTGGTTTAGGCACCCAGAAAGCAACAGGACGTGGACAAACTACACCCAGTGCAATATCTACACACATGAAAAAGTGAAGGTAGGAAAGGAATGAGTGCTTGGTGCCAGTGGCTAAAAATCCTTCCAAGTTTCAGAGCTCAAAAGGCAGCAGAGCTGATGCAACAATGCTTGGAGTATTTTTCTGTATATCAAAAGTAGGCTTTGTCCACACATGTGCTTCTGTGAGTCTAGGTATAGATGCTGTTTTTCTAGGCTTTTTATCTTGAAGATGCCCTTCAATTAAAAGATACAGAAAAAGAACAAAAAATCTCTAAATGACCTTTTTAAGATACTTTGTGATATATGAGGATACAGTGGGCAAAACTACATATTTTACCCCGTTCCCCAGCTGTATGTCAACTCATATTCCTTGTGTTTATGAAACATTCAGTCATGGGAAGAAGCAGTAAATTGAAACTCTAAATTCTCAAGAACCAGGAATATAAATCACAGATCAGGACAGGCTTTAAATTAATTTGGACATCATGTTAAAGGGCTCAATAATAGCAGAGCATGTCAAGAAATTTGACATGTAATGGAGTTTCTAACTGCCTGCACCACTGGTGTTGAATGCTTTAGGGAATTTACCTAAAAACCGTATTGAGCATAAGATGGTTACAGGTGATAATAAAGCACCTAATTATTGCTTTTTCTCAAATCATGAGACTTAGAGTCTGCTAATGGCAGTTCAATTCTCTTTGCAGAATTGCCACAATTCATTGATTCTTGCTAATATTTATCTGGGAACTGAGGATATTATTCAGAAAGGAGTAGATCTATGAAGATCCTTCTTTATGAATAATGAGGTAGTTTTCCTCAGGCTGTTTTGCCAGCGTGTTTCAGCTCTGTCACAAATCTGAATTCGGTTGTTGAAATGTTATAATAGCCCCAAAGAAAGCCTTGCTGCTTGCTGCAGTTCTCTGTGCTGTGATGCTCAGCAGCATCATCTCTTCACTGTGCTTGGAAGGCGGGTTAGACACTGCACAATAACTGTGCCTGTTGTGCATTGTTCATTYCTTATTGTTACTGCCCTCAGCAGCAGCTCTGCTGTTCCACGCTTTTCTGGCTGTTCTAAATGGAGGGGAAATCCCTAAATCCTTAAAATTCATCTTTGCCTGTATCAGTCTGAGTGAGGTGGTGATGTGGGCCTGTCATAGAAAGGCTGTTGTCATTTACACAGCTCACATTTTAGCRTTTTGGGGTARCATTTGATTTTTCTCACTTCCAAAKATTTCCCCAATTTCACAATAAGTTTCACTTACACCTAAAATTTCTAGCACATAAAAAGAGCTACCATTGTGTCATCTTACAACCTACTTAAAGCTTTTCCTGCAATCTTTTTATATTATCTCAAAAGTCAGTGTGTATAGCAAGCTGCAATAACTCTGTCCTAACTTGGAATATTAAGTTTAGGGGATACACAGAGTTTGCAGTGTGTGAGCATTTGGGTGTGTGCTCTCGCTCTCCCTATGGAACCCAGATAGTTGTGCTTTATTGTGAGACTATGAGGTTCAAGCTGAAAATCTTCATTTCCTTAAGAGCCAAATGATAATCTTATATTTAATGCAACAAGAATTTTTTGGCAAGACAGATTCCACAATTGAAAGCAAAGGTTTGTTATTTTTTAAWATAATTTATCAGTTATTTTATTAATTAGCTATTAGCTACAAGAATTAATGGTAACATGAACATATTCCARATATTAATTCACCGGTTCCTTTTTTTTCATTTTGTATCAACACAGATTTTCATAATTCCGTGATTAGCTGTAGGCTTATTTAACAAAACTGTTTAGTCTTCTCTGTATTTGGGTTATTGTTAATTTTTTTCACGCCCTTCCTTAAATGCTGAATAAAAACTGAATTTACAATACCATAATCACAGCTTGTTTCGAAGGAAGTTTCTTTAAATGCTGCGAAGAAAACATTCTGTGGGGAAAAATAATTCATAGAGGAAGCACATRTTTTACTCAGGAGTTGTATTAACAGAGAAATGAGGCCTAGTACAGCCATGCACCCAGTGCAGGAGATTAAATAGCCAGATTTATATAAATACCCAGAAAAAATCATAGCAGTGTATGTTGGAAACGTGGTGTTTTAAYTGATAAGAGGCAAATTCTAGCGATGACTCCAGTTCATCTGCTGTGTTCCCTACAGAGAGGGATTTCAGTGGGATATTGTTTGGCAGGATTCTGTACTTGTGCCGTCATTACCTGAAATGTTTTGGGGTTTTTTCTTATTAGTGTTCTAGTCATTTTAACTGCCAAAGAGATGTATAAATATGTGCTTTATCTGCAATAGCTCTGTGTGAATCCCTTGGCTTTGTTYTTGTGTTGCAGACCGCTCTGAACTTGTATTATTTGGCCATCATCGGACACGGGCTTTCCATTGCATCACTTTTGATTTCTCTTGGCATATTCTTTTATTTTAAGTAAGTATGTTTAAAATCCTTTATCAAATATCTGTGGCTGCCAAAATCCTGGTTTCAGTGCTCTGAAACATTAGCCATCCAAGTGCAGTTAGATGGAGCAAGATGGTGAAGAAAGCCAGTATTTAGGTTTGGCACTGGACTTTGTAACAAAAATTAAGGTTTCTTCTTGCAGAAATCTCAAATCAGTGAYCTGCAAACCAAAAACTGTAGAATATATTGAAAATAGGAAATGGGAAAAGTGYTTGTTCATTTTGGGGTTGTGATGTATGGATTTTTTTAGTGCTAAATTGCAGTGTGGGTATTAGGAATTGAACTCCATGATCCTTGTGGGTCCCTTCCAAGTCAGGATGTTCTGTGATTCCRTGTTATGCCAAGCATCAACTGAACTAAAGAGCAAGTGGAAACCAAAATAGTGATGACATTTGATAGGTACAGTAACATCCCAAAGTAGGTACCCACAAAATACAGCAACTGTAAGGAAAGGAAGGTGAAGAGCTACAGTATGAATGGGAATAATAAAAATAATCCAATTTTTTGATTCACAGTATGACAGGCGTGTCAAGTGCTGGCTAACTTATTATGTCACCTTGAAAGGAAGTTAGAGCAGTGTATCACCACTGTCACAATAGCTCATGATCTAATACAAGCCTTTTAAAATTAATCTTATTACTGCATATTTAGTAAACTTTCTTTCCTTTCYCATGAAAGACACCTGTTGTTTTCCTTTAGTTTTAAGAAGCTGCTGAGGCTCAGTGGAAAGGTGAAACCAGGAGTGTTGCTCCTCGGTCTCACTGCTTCCTGCCTCTTTCCATATTCCTTTTCTTCCTGGCATTTCAATAGGAATAGCATGTACATTGGCAATGGATTCTGCTTTTCTCATGCTGTGGGCTTTGATTAGGTGGAGGCAGCTGATAGCTGATAAAAAAGTTCTCCTTTTTAGTCCCATTTGGCTGAAAGGGGAGCTTCCAGTTTAGCTGTGCATTATTTCCTCAGGCTTCTGCAACATTTCTGCAAATCCCCAGCAAACAGTAGTGTTTCAGTTTTGCAGCCTCTCTTTTGAAATCCAGTATTCAGGATGACATTTCTGCTTTTTCTGATCTCTTTTCATGAGAAAAAAAAACAGATAATTGTTTTTTAATCAGATTATTTTTGTATGACCTGTAAAAACAATGCTTTCCCTTTCCAAGTTCACTCTCCTTCCCCAAACTCAATGTGTGAAATTGGCTCTGAGTCCTTATAAGAAGCTTGATTTTGCATAAAAAGGTCTATACTGTTGCAATAAATGTCTCAAAGTTTACAAGTCTAGATATCTAATGTGACCAGGAAAATGCTTTAACATGGGGGAAAAGAGAAAGATTTGGAGTAGGATATGATTGTCTAAGTTCACAGAGAGTCAAGCGTGATTTTTCTCTACTAAAATATGAAACCCAAGGTAATTTCCTCTTGGCTTGTGGCACTGTGCAAAAGYAGGTGATCTGCTTTTCTGCCACCCCATGACATACTGTGGCATGTTTGTCTAACCATCCAGGGATTTGCTTTTCTGGTGGCAGGATTATCCTTCCTCAGAGAACCGCATGGAATCAATCCAGACCCACAAACCACATTTTCTAGACTGTGGTTATGTTGGATATAAAAGGAAATTACAAAATTTAAAGGAAGCTAAAGAAAGTCCTTCTGCAAGCTGTTCTCTTGGGATGCACAGTTCCTCTAAAGTATTTTTAGTAGCAGAAGGGTATTTAAGGACCTAGATTAATACCAGGATGTATTATATATCGGCTAAAGCTTGGATAATTATTCATAGCTTCAACAGGTGGGCTTTTTTTTTTTTTTTTTTGCTATTGTGGGGGGTGCCTTTGAATTTGTCATTTCAAAAAACTTTAGTCTGTAAGTGAACTGACAGTTTCCAGATAACATTTGCTAGATCATTGATTGTTAGAATATCATTAGATATGACTAGATATTTGGAGCTTTTCCCCAAAGGTGAAAGGACTCCTTGTTTGTTTTTTTTCTCCAAATATCAACTGTTTGGGATTTGAATTATTTTTTAGGACTCCATTTTTCTGCATTTTATGTTTGCATTTTAAATTTTGTTTTTTCTTCAGAAAATTGTCTTGTTGCAAATACTTGTCCAGCTTATGACTTGTGTTCCCCAAGTGGGTTGGAGTTCTTGGTTTAACAGTAGGAAATGGGTCATAAACTTGGAACTCTGAAATCTCGTCTGTGAGACATAAAAGGAACTTGTTGCAGTGTGTCTGCCTTCTCTCACTGTTACGTACTCTAGATCATACATGTGTTATAAATGTTAAAATAGCCCTATGGTTTTCAGAAAGAAAGAAAAATGAGGCAAGAGAATACTTTAAAAAGCAGTGATTTAGGACAAAGAGGAGCTATAGTTTCAAAGTTCCCCCCCAATAAAAATCAAAGCAGTGAAAAAAAAAGCCAAAACTAAACCCACCTGATATAAAGGAGTTGTTGTTGATCAAGTATGTTGTCAAATCCCATGGCAGCTTTCACAGGGAGAGCAACTCTGTTAAAGAAAGGGTGGGCAAACCTCTGGTTATTGGATTGTTATGGAGACAGGAGCTCCCTAAGTCACTCTAAATTAAAGTTATCTGAACAGATAATTCCCCTTAAGTGCATGCATGGATCTCACTGGTTGAGTTTTGCAGAATTGAAATAACTTAAAAACTTGGACTTAAACCCACTTAGGGGCTTTTGGAATTTATTTTTTTTTCTTTTGGAGAAATATTGGCGAAATTAATTTTTCCCTAATACCCAAGGCATACAGGAGTCAAAATAGAAAGGGAAATAGGTATTTTCATAGGAAGTCTGTTTTTATTTTGCTTTATTTGAGGGGTTGCTCATTCAAATGTTCTTAGATCATAAATATGAGAATTAAGTGATTAAAGGATATTATGTCATTAAGAAAAACAGTCATGAAAATGGAATATAGGAAGGATAACAGAAGAGGGAGGGTGGGGAAGCTTAGGAAAAATCCTTTTATTACCAAAAGCAGTCTTAGTTTTTAAATGTCATCAGTCTTGCTTTTTGTTTCTTGTCCGGTGATCCTTTCAATCCTTTCATGCATGGGTGGAGGTGGGTGTGGATGGGTGTGTTTGAATATTCAACAGGAACAGCTGCTGGATGACCCGGAGAGATGGCCCCATTAGCTGTACGTGCTCTTCCTTGCTTGTGCCTCGAGTCTTAACAATAAGCAGACAGAATTCCAGAGTTTTTTAGGACTTGTTTACACAAAGCCCTTCGCTGGAACCTTGTATTGTCTCTCATATACAAACTATACAGGAAAAAAAATATATAAAAATACATTTTCAAAGAATGTATGCAAGTAAGACCTTGCATGTTATTAAAATTAAAGTTTATGCATTTGGGGCATYACCACAAAAGACTAAAATAAAACCTTAAAGAGCCTAATGGAATATATTTYATCCCTTAATTCATATGCACCCCTGTTTTCTGTATTTTGGAGACATTTTCTTTTGTATTTCCTTTAGCTAAATGACATATGGCAGATGGAGTTTGCTGTATTCCTTGTTGAATGGCAGCACTGSTTTCTAGAAGGGTTTCCTTGCCCTGTTTTTAGTGCTGTGGGCTCAGCCTGYCTCAGGGCTGGCACAGTGTGTACCCAAAACTCTGAGCTTAGTGCAGTGTCTGGGGGGGCTYTGTACCCTGCTCTTGTGAGAGAGATCCCTGCAGAGGATGCAGCCAGGATCTCCTGATACCCAGGCTCTTGGGACTGTTCTTTTTTTCTCCTTTGGGTCACCTTGTTTGTTGKTTCATCTGTCAGCAGTTTTCAATGTACTCCTCCAGCCTTTGTGAATATTTCATATCTGCATCTCTCTGAAAAAATACAAAGTTTTCCCTCCTACCCTCCCAAATTAAAAATGAATCACCACTGTCCCTCCTTTATCTTTYCTTGCAGGCATGCCATTTGAAAAGGCCATAAAACACGATTATTTTTTTCCCTGGGGTGACAGTTTAGACATGTCCCCTGCTGCCCTCGTGAATGTGTTTCTGATTTCTCTCAGTGAGCAGCAGTGGCCTGTGTAAGTGGTAGATTTTCTCCTCCAGTTGGTCATTTCAAAGTGTTGATCAGCTGTTAACAGGAGGCAGGCAGGTGTGGTTACAGAACACAGGCTTCAATCACTGCTTTCTCCAAAGAAACTCAAAAGTTCACTGGAAAAACCTGRATGAGAAGCAATCCTGTCTCTTGAGTTAGACCTGCTTCCTCTGGAATGACAGAGAAACAGAAAGTGGCTGCACCTATGTTTAACACTGTCTAATATTGTTGAACTTTTGGGTTGTTTTCTTTAACAAGCCCTTCCAATTTTCTCTTTAATTTTATTGCAAGATTACAAGCAAACCTTAAACATTAACACAAATGTAGTTCTTTAGTGATTTTATAATTGTATCCTATAAACTGTTTATAACTTAGTTATACACAAAAGTCAGGATGAGATTTGTGATATTTTGCTAATTTAGATATATCTCTAGCTTTAGGCTGAAGGTAGAAAAGTGACAARGATATGAGTAAAAGGGAATTCTCAAAAGATCTAAACAGGTTTGGGTAAATGGAAACAGGGTAGGAGCTTCATCAAGCTCAGCTATGACGGTTAATTGGGAAGTTCTTCAGGTACTAACCAAAAAAAAAGATTTAAATCTTCTGAAAATTATTTATCAGCATTCAAATCATTTTCAGCTGGCCACATCTTTCACTGTAAACATATTGGAACTAAATGTGTTTGCTTTCTTCCTGTTGGTATTTAAGCAAAAGTGGTATCTTTCATGTCCTTGAATTAAATTTGCTCTGGACCTGATGAAAGGGTTGATGTAACAGTTGTGAGTAAAATCCAGAGCTCTAGCATTTCAAAATGCCAGAGTTGTCCCCAAGTACACATAGTTGTCCTCCCATGTACTCATTTGTTCTTGTTTCTCTTTTCTAGGAGCTTGAGTTGCCAAAGGATTACCCTGCATAAAAATCTGTTTTTCTCCTTTGTTTGCAACTCTGTTGTAACAATAATTTCACTGACAGCAGTTGCCAACAACCAGGAATTAGTTGCAACTAACCCAGTAAGTGAAAGTGTACTTAGAGCCTTGTTTGTGATGCGTGGGTAGGTTGAGCAGAGCTGGGAGCTGAGCAGCACGGCGAGGTTACGGCGTTCAGAGCAGCGCAGCAGATGGCTCACAGTGCCTGGGACATTGCACAGCCGAGGTTGTGAAACAGGAAAAGTGCTCTGAGACACTCAGCAGCCTGAGCTTTGCACTGAAACAACTGAGAGAGAGCGTATTCTAGATGATGTCAGGGAGGCTGACAGCTGAATTCACCAAGGAAGGGATGTTTTGCAAGGTATTTTTGGATCTGTCAGCTGCTTTCTTATGGCTTTAACTTAGCCATCTTCAGTTGGAATAAGAATAATTTATTTTTSCAACACAAGAGTCTAAAGATGAAGTACATAAACAAATCATTAGCTCTGACTTTATTGGTTTTTAGACATTTTAATTCTGTGCAAGTTAAGAGCAAAACTCCTGAAGTTGAATCAAGTAAAAAGATAATTTCTCTTTCTCCTGTAGAAGCAGTCATCAATGTGCTGGAAAACATACTTAAGATAGCTGCTTATAACCATCATTAAGTGAGTTAGGTAGCAGAAAATGATAAAACAATWTTGGGGTTTGGTTTTGTTTTAAGCYAAGTGGSRKAAATAGAACAATCAAACAGGCAGCAATGTCTGATGGAGGGAAGAAAAAAAAGAGGACTTGTGACCAAATGTGACCAAATCTTCAAGTTAACTGTTGCTCCTTTTTCACAACCTCACATTTTAGACTTCACAATAAATTATACTATAGMAGTTAAATTGTAGAATATATTTTGAATTAAGCTAAGTAACAAATAAATGCCRGGTGCCTCTGCAAGCTCTCAGTCTCTAGGTGCAGTTATGAGTAGGTTAAAACTGGAAATACTGTAAGCTTTTTAAAAACAGGAATTCTGATACGTTGTGATGCGTAAAACTGAGAGGGGATTACCCACATTAAAATACATTTCATGTGTGGCTTCTATCAGATAATTTAAGGTTTTGGAATGGTTAAGTGTGGCAAGGTTTGCAATAAGGCAGAGTATCATTACAACATTCTATCACACCTGAGGATCTCAGAATCCTCACATGTGAATAATAAAAAGCAGACTTGCTTAAATTTTGTGTCATCATAAAGTGTGGGATTGTAATGCAATGAAAATTCTGTTTTAAAAATTAAACAAATATGTAATTGTAGTGGAAAACAGAATAAACATTACTTCAAGCGGCGTTTTTTCCACTTTGCAAATAAAGCTCTGAGATTTCTGCAAATTAAAAATTTATATGATTCTCTTGTTGTTTTTTTCCTGCAGGTTAGTTGCAAAGTGTCACAGTTCATCTACCTGTACCTKATGGGTTGCAACTACTTTTGGATGCTGTGTGAAGGCATTTACCTGCACACCCTCATCGTGGTGGCAGTCTTTGCTGAGAAGCAGCACCTGATGTGGTATTACCTCCTTGGATGGGGTATGTGATTTCACACTGTGCCTTTGCAGGTCAATGCAGCCTCTTCCTCCTTCAAACTTCCATACCTTTGCCTCTCTGAGCTGTAGCTTTGAGTGATGATGGCACACCCCAATTTTTGTGGTGTTTTAACAAGCTCAGAAATGTTAATGTAGGAAGTTGTGTGTACCTCTGCTGAGAGAGAGATTGTGCATTTCTGGAGTCAGGAAGTGACTCCTCCTTTGTATAGAAAAAATAGTCTCCTATTATAAAAAGGACCTTAAGAAGTAATTATTCATTGTTCCTCCTCTCCAAGATGATTATTCAGGAATGAATATTTATTTTCAGAGCAGTCTCGCCATGCCTAGGGTGGAGGGTCAGAACTGAGTTAGAAGTGACCGAGGATTTATTTTTCCAGCAGTTCCATTTGACCTGTATTGTTCACTAAGCAAACACAGAATAGCTGTAAATGAAGGTCTCAAGCAATATCAGTATCAAAACTAACAAGCCAAGCCTGGTCACTTCAGATAATGCACAAGAGCTTATTCACAAAGTGAAAGTCAAGGTGCTCAGCAGCTCCTYGAGATCAGGTACTACCAGAGTGTCAAGGGCCCCAGATGACTAATTTCCTTGATATTCTCATTTTTTTTTCATTTAGCTTGATTTTCTGAGCTTAATTTCAAAGCTGCTTTCTGAATAGCCAGATGTTGATACTTTGTCCTCATAGCAGTGAGAACATGATCCACGTTGACCATTCTGTTAGAGCTGAGGTCATGTCTGCAATCACCATTTTAMTATTACCTACCTGTTTGGTGTTATTGCAGATTGCAGCCTGAAAAGCACCTGTGTTAATGAAGATCAGTTGCATTCTAAAAGGTTTTAAGTTGATTTGCCATTCTTGTGTGGTGGTGTGGATTTCTTGGCCAGTCAGGGAGAATAACATTTCACACAGCCCTCAGAAAGAAATCTAAGGAAGGAAAGATGAACTATCTCCCTGTTAGTTTATTTGCTCTGCGGGTATATAGTCTGGGTGACATGAAAATACAGAAGGTTCCTGCAAGGTATGCAAGTTTACTTAGTTATTAGCCAGGTTTACTAATGAAGAAAATACTGGTTTTTCTTCACAGGCTTTCCGCTGATCCCTGCCTGCATACATGCYGTTGCAAGAAGTTTATATTACAATGACAAGTAAGTAGTACTTCAGCTTGCTTTGCAAAACTTGTATATTTTCTTTTAGGTTAAAAAAAACCCAAGGCTAATAAATGCCTTTATTTTTCCTTTTCCTGTTTGTTTTCTCTAGTTGTTGGATCAGCTCTGATACTCATCTGCTTTACATCATCCATGGCCCTATTTGTGCAGCTCTCTTGGTAAGCATTCTTCAGATAATATTTCTTTTCTTGTTTGTTTTCTGCTGCTCTTTATGGGTTTCTAAAGGTAAGAGCCTAAAGGTAACATTTAGAGGTCACTGGTATTTTTGGGTCTCCTGCTTAACCCAGCAGGTGCCTGAGACACACAAGATCCAAGAAGTCTTGGCCTTACTAAGGATCTGTGCTTCTGGTCCTTTGAGCAACTCAGGGTTTGCAATGTTGATTATCATTCCACTCAAATCCTAGTGACAAGGAAGGACTAAACCTTTCCTGGAGTACTGGGGGGGGAATTTCAAACCCTTCCTTTAGCTGAGAGTGCCTCTCATGCCCTGACTGTTACCAGGTGGGCCCTTCTAGAGCCTCTTTGTGTCACAGCACATGGCCAAACAGCTCCCAGATTAAAGTTTGGGGAGAGGGGATTTGGATGGCAGGACTGACTGTGGCTGGGAGTGTGAGATGGAGAAAAACCAGAGCAAGTCCTGGGGAGAGAACCAGTGCCATGGTGACTGCCCCTGTTCTGATACTGATTCAGCACTGTCTGCTTTGGCCACTGGGGTGTTGCAGTTCCTCTGTTTCTGTCGTGCTGATGAACTCATAGAGTATGGTGTTCTGTCTGACAGCCCAAGTTAATGCCAGCTCTGTTCATGTTCACTGMTAAATTAAATTCTAGGTGAGTAACTGAAGACATCACTGCATAAAAATCAGTGTTGTACATCAGTTGCACTAGGACTGGATTTAAGCTATGAAATTTCAGTCAGTAGATTGTTGCTAAATAGAAATAGGTGTCTAGTTGAACAACTACCTCCCCAGTTAATGTAATTAGTGTAGAGGCATTCCATATGTGATTAGCCACTGACTGGGTATGACAGTCATTTATTTATTGTAACAGAAACTTCGAGCTGTTCTGGCCACACTGCTGTTACCTGTCTGCTGACTTTTCTCCTGGCTTTTCACTTTACACAAGGAAGTTGATTAACAATGAAAACCTTAAGTAACATCATGGAAATAATTCCAGTTTCTGAATCTACAGGAGTTTCCTCTTCTGTTCACTTGTTAATGAATACTTGTGGAGGGCATTCTGTGCATAGAGAATTCTCTCAGAAGCCCATTATATAAATCCTGGGMTTCTTGTGACTTTTTTATCATTGAYAGTAAAATTAACYCMTGAAGTTATTGAGAGCCATGGCCCTTGGGGTGTGAATTATTACTGATAATCTTTGTSAGTCAGGTCTGCCATATGCATTCATATAAGGACACAAACGGGTCTGCTGTGCTCTAATCTGTAAACTTAAGCACACTTCTAAATCCTTTCAATTTTTGTTCTCTCTGCACAGAAGATGAAGCCCTGTTTTCACAGRTGTAGGGTTGGGGTTTTTTGTGAGTTTTTACTTCCATTGTTTTGGTGTCTCTTCACAGATCTGACACTTAAGTAAAGCTCTTTAAAACTGAACTATACATTCTATTAGTCAGAACTTGCTTTAAATACCAGCATAAAAATCTGTGTAAAAGCTATAAGACTACTATCTTCTGTGAAGTGACTTCATTTAAGGATGTAAGGTCATTTTCTTATTCTAAGCAGTGGCCTCCATGAAATCACACTGCAAGTGGCCAGACTCCTACATGCTTCAGATGCACTGGATCTGTCCCAAATGATCAAGTCTTCTTTCCATTCAAGGCAACACTTGCAATGTTCTTTGATTTTAGTGGAGGCATAATAATCATTACTGTGGGGTTGTTTTGGGCAGAGTTTTTGTCCATTATCTTTGCAATATACAACTCTGTACACCTTTGATATTCCTGTATTTTTCATGAGCCTGCTGAAGATTTTTCTCTCGTATTTTTCTTGCCTCAGTACAATTTCTAAATTTATTTGAAAATCATGCAGGAATAATAGAGATTAAACTGCACATCTTGTCTGTGATGGGAAGGTATTATAAAGGATCACTTTCCTTTCTGGAAGCAAAAAACAAAAAAAATGTAATATGTCAAGAAAGAAAAGACAAGGCAGGACTAAAGATGTTAGATTAAATGCATGTGTTTAGGCTTTGTGAACAGAACCCTCATTTGCTTAAGCAGCTTGCTTGCCAGATACAATTTCCACACTTTACTAAGCATGACCTGTTTTAGTAGACATTTAAGCAACAATATTAAACTGCAAATTAGATAACGAGGGGGMAGACACTGTTTCTATTTGCAGGAGCAAGATCTCAAAGAACATGAAAGGGGACTGTCAAGTGGGTGCCAGGGAGAATTGGCAGAAGCCAATGGGAATTTAACTCTTGCACATCACTGAAAATCCTACAATTACATAAAGTTAACAACAACGCAGCTTTTATGGTCCCTGTTATTACATAACTGTGGTGAGATCCCTGCCAAACAAACAGGAGCAGACATAGGTTGCACTTTGATTGGAAGCTGACCATTAAATTACAACTGTCTGCCTAAGCAATCACAATTAAAAAAACAGAGTGGGAATGAGACAGTAGAGGGGGATGCCAGTTTCCATGGGAGACAAATATTGATCAAGATTGAGGGGAGAAGGATAAAGGAAAGGGTTTGCACTTCAGTGAAAGCAGCAGTGATTTCCATGTAGAGTTCAGAAGTGCCAGTGCTCTTGTGGTTTCATTTGTGTTGGTGCCACTGAATTATTTAGCTATGCCATGCTTTGTATAAATAATGCTAYAGGGATGTGTATTTCTTTCCCCCTGTAATAATGTTTTGAATTGCTGTTATMGTCTGGCACACTGTTACAGATGCAAGTTCTTTCAGCAGATTCTGAGTGAAGTGCTAGAAGGAAGCTGAGGCACTCCTAGCTTTGTCTTTCATGTTCTTGTATTTAATAACTTTAAAGTGCTGGACTTGGTGCCAAACTTAGGAGTTTAGAAGTTGAATGCTCAGCACTCATATGCTGGGCCTTTGGAATGTCCCAGCTCTGAGACCTGTTTTCATGAGCACATACCTGTGTTGTGCCCAAGCAGGCRAAGATATGGAGCTGCACAACTGCATTAAAAGCCAAGCAATGGCTACCAGCTTGTATCTCAGAATATCTGAGTGCCTTGAGTGAGAATAGTCTGTTTATATCATCCTAAGGAGGAATTGAAACAGAATTTAAACCTGCAAGGATTAGTGTCTTGCTTAGTGAAAACTCAACATGGAGAAAAGTAGAAATATCAGGGACCTGAGGAGAGTTTAATTCAAAAACTGCAGTACTTGGAAACTTGGCTTCAGTTCACTGCCAGAACCTGAATGCTTCTGAGTTTCCAGTATAGGCACCAACATGGTTGGTTTGTCTAGGATTGCCTTCTCTGCCTTTGTTTCCATTTTTGCTCAGTTCAGTTTTTAGGTCACTGTGGAGTTGTCACTATTTCACTCTGTATTCATAGTGCAGATAGCACAACAGGGCTCCTTTGGGCTTTTCCAAACCAGCACAGTCAATTTGACAATAATGTGCATGCGAGGAGTTCCACTGGCCTACTTTTGCTTAAATGCAAAAATCTACTCGGCACCTTGCTAAAACCAGGACCTGTTTTTATCACTTTAATTAAAAATTCAGTTCATCCTGATCTCGCTCTTATTTTCTGACAGAAGAGATATTCATCAAAAATTCGTGCCACATACTTCCACTGACACTCATCCTGTTCTGCTCAGCTCTGCCCTGTGCTTTGCCTCCTCCAGCTTTCTGTTTGCCCTTAGCTATTTGCAAACTCTTCACGTGCTTAATTTTGTGCATTTTGCTTTTGATGGGCAAGTGAAACTAACAGAAAAATTCTGTGAATGTTGTAAAAGAAACAGCTCTTTGGGTGCTATTTGTGCCTGGCTGCTTCAACATCCATCTTCAGTTAGCACTTCAGGACAGTGTTAAAGGAATTGGCCACACTACCAAAACACGAGAGGGTGGAAAGCTCAGTGTTTGAGACATGTTAGTGTTAAATGAGTAGATTTGAGAAGGATTAAATTTAGAAATGGAGGAAGAACTTATTGTCTGCATGTATTATAGGAAGTTGGATGGGGATCGTGGGCTGCATAAAATCTAAATAAATCCCTTGAGAAAGAATCAGAAGACCTTGGCTGTTTAAAYAAAGCTTAAAGGTAGCTGGAGGCTTCCAGGAGAAATTCATGCAGTAGTTTCCTATGTAAAACAACTTCCTGTTAAAATGATTTAAATAGCATGTAAGTAGAATATAAATAACATTCCATATCTGTCAAGGGCCACGTTGCTAYTATAACACACAGCTATTTATTCTGAAAGCCTGAACTGACACAAAGAATTCTGCCAGGACGGCAGAGGCACCATGACACATGTGGTCTGAAATGTCTTCCCTGCTTGCACTTGTCCTACAGCAGGGCAGAGGCCTCCTCCTGGAACTACGAGGAATCCTCCAGGAATTCCGAGGATTTTAGAAGGGAGTTGTCTGTCTGTCTTCCAGCTTCTTCCCCTGACACTGCTTTTGTCTCTAGTTGTTGGCAAAGGCAGGCACCCTCTGGAAGCTGAGATAGGAGCTATTGTGTGTCTCCCTTTTGCAGCGGGTGCCCAGAACAGCTCTGTCCTGCCTCTGCGCCTTTGGACAGGCTTCACCAGCATTGAATGGGGGGTGCAGGCAGGGTGTGATCATCCTCAAGGCTGCTGTGGCTCTGGTTATTCATCCTTGAGCTGCAGGGGATACGTGTGTGTGTGTGTGTGTGTGTGTGTGTATCCACTCACATATCCCA